ATTTTTAGAAAAATATGTGATTAAAAAGTGAGAATAGATTTGGGTTGATGTGCTAAATGTTTTATCGTGTAAATCTATTGTTGAAAATGAGTACGGAAAAAAAAAGTTTTCAAATAGTGATTATCAAAAACAAAGTTTTGAGTAGTTAACTTTTTTAAGAATGTGTGGTTAAAAAGTAGGAAAAAATTTTAATTTACGTATATATTTTATTGTGTAACTTTGTAGTTGAAAATAAGTATGTAGAAAAAAAAAATTCTGAAGTAAATGGTATCAAACAGGGGCTAATTCAGTCTTTACTTGAGACGATTTTTTGTCATAATATGTGGCTAATTACAACATTGAAGACTAACAATCCAATTGTAGACCGTAGTCATGTAAATACGAATTAAATGATCCAAATAATTGTATGATAAATCAAGAACACGATCTCTTGAACAATTATACTAGATCAGCGTGTTATCTACACCAGTGGCTCCTAGTGTTATGAATGCATACTATTGTGTGCGTGAGAGCGTTTGATTATGTTCATAAAGAGATGTCGATGAGAGATCATACGTATTAAGAGTCTGTTAGCTTCTCATTAATTGAGAAAAAAAATGGGTATTGAACAGTATTTTTAGGAGAATTCGCGGTTCGAAAGTAAGAAATTTTTTTGATATACGTGTAAAATAAAAATTTATGTCCTCTTCCGAAGTTTTATACTCTCATTATTTGTCTTTACTTATCAATCTCGAATAGTCTAATTAAAAAGTAATTTACGTGAAAGAATCTCATCCATCCTCTCNGTAAAATAAAAATTTATGTCCTCTTCCGAAGTTTTATACTGTCATTATTTGTCTTTACTTATCAATCTCTAATACTCTAATTAAAAAGTAATTTACGTTAAAGAATCTCATCCATCCTCTCGTCACAAGTTTGTTAATGAGAAAAGGCCAATGCTTTTGTATTAGTCCTTAGCGACAAAAGCCATTGACATAACTTGTCTGCTTTATCATTTAATAAAATATTAGCTTTTATTAAATATCATATCATCACAAATAAAACATATAATTCTAGAATCATCTCTTTCATTAATTTTAATAATTTTATTTCATATTTTAATTTAGTTATAGAAACATGTTTAGTGGGATTCCTTCAACAGTGGTCACGTTAAAATGAGTCAAATTTAGGGATGACAAAAAATTCGACAAATTCGATACTTGCAGGGACTACACTCTTAATCGGGTATTCGAGTAAGGGACGAGGTGGAGAATTTTGTCTGAGCGGGGACGGGTAACTGGTGTCCCGTCCCATTTAATTTATTTTTTTTAAATGGGTAACGGGACGGAGAATTGCTTGGCGAGGTGAGGGGGGTGCCCTGACCCCGCCCCCGCTCCTGCTCCTGCTCCTGCTCCTGCTCCTGCTCCGTTGCCATTCCTGATCAAATTCGTAGAATTTTCAAATATGAAACACGTGCTACAAACTACTAAAGAAATCAAGCTCCCATCTATAAATATTTTTGGTATTCTAATTTATGTAACAAAAAAACAATAATTTAACAGAAAATCCGAAAATTAAGAAAAAAGATTCGGAAGGACAAAATGTTGCATGTGGTCACATGATTGCCTGCGGTCGGTTCCACCATATCCGCTTGATTTTCATCAACAAATTATTATTCTAGCCAATCCACGTACCACACGCCATGATCATCTATTTTTCTAGGCCCGTCAAAATTATAGTTGGATAATTATTCCTTTCTTTAAGTAAAGTGACAACTTGTATACAGATCATCGCAATTGATATAATTCAGCACATAATTAACCAACAAATAAGTGAATTCAGCACCTAAATTTGGTAACATTAATACCCTGTTTGGACTCCAATAAAATGCGGTTTCGAGGAAAAATATATTTTGAAATAGTAATTTTTTAAAATTAAAATGTGTGATTAAAAAAACGAAAAATTAATAATTTATTGCAGTGAAGAAGTTGATTATCAGTTAAGGAGAATTTGAGAGAGAGAGAAAGAGGGAGCAGGCTTCGGGGTTAATTTCCTTTTTGGCAACTGATCTTTGACTGGGAATCTTGATTGAGCCACCTATTTTTTTAGTTTATCTCAATCAAATCACCAATTTTCAAGTTACTTCAAGTTAGCCCCATTACTTAACATCATAATCCAAAGTGAACGTAAAAAAAATTATACTATTCTAACATTTCTTACGTTTCAAGTAAACTCAAGTCGTGGTTGTAAAATTTGAAAATAAATGGTTTAAATCGATGATAATTCATTTGATCAAACATAACACAGAGCTCTATTCATCATCAATATGGATGAGAATTCAAAAAATTTATACAACTTTGAAAGATTAAACATAATACGGGTATGATAATACCATTTCATTATACCAAAAACTTGTAATAAAGAAAACAAAATAATAAGCATAGTCATATTTTCATAGTACGAAAGTGGTTGGGCAATTTGGCCATGGTTTAGTAGTTTAAAACATCTATCTTTCATGGAGGAGGCAACGTGAATTCAAATTTCTCAAAGGTAATCCAATTTCAACATTTTGCACTCGCAACGTGACTATGTGGTGTATTTAGTTAAAAAACGGGATTAAGGGATGATTGAGTTATTAAGTTTAACAACTCAAGGCATAGAGTGACTAGCATTAAATTAAATTGAAGTTCAGTGATCTCATCATGACAATTCAAAGATTGATAACCTAATTGAGATTTCACTGAAATTAACCTTAGCCTTCCTTATTTGACTAATACCTTTACCCCAATTTCGCTCCATTAAAATCATAATTCATTTTTCTTTAGTTTTATTAATCACATATTTTTTAATAAAATAATATTACACGTAATTAATTTTTTTTTTTTAACTACACATTTTTTAAAAAAATATTATTCTGATCATTAAAATTTTAAATGACGAGGCCAGACGGGTAGTTACTAGTTAAAGTCATAAGTACATAGACAATCAAAGCATAGGAGTTATGGCCTTGATTAGCCCCTTTTCCATTTTTAGTTTTGCACCCTCTTCTTCTTCTTCTTCTAAACCCGCCATTTCACTATCTCTGTGTTGAATAATCAAGATATGGGATTCTCTAAAGAAAAGAGAAGAAAGAGATTTGTAAGGTGGATCAAAACCCTGTTCTTCTTAATCGCTATGTTGACTTCTCTTCTCCTATTTTCAGCACCCATTCTTCTAGTCATCGCCGATGCCCTTCTTCCTTCGGCCCTACTATCGGCTTCGCTTTCGCTTAATTTACAACCTCTGTCTTCTCATCTAAACAACTACGACTTCCGATCCTCACTCATCGATATCCCTCTCGTATCCATCATTCGATCAGCCATTATATTATGTAAGTATCAACTATAAGAACCCATATTCTTTTTAATTTGATTTTCTGTTTTGTTGATTCATTTTCTCCCTTTGTATAGGTGTTTATAGTTTTTGCGACGGTCCGAGGCTATCGAGGGGGCCATATTTAGGAATTGCCGCTATATGTTCGGTGTTATCGCTCTTGTTCGTGTCATTGAAGGCTGCTTATGTTTTTAGTGACGGTTCGAGCATCGATCGCCGCGGATACGGTTACTCTCGAGCCGTGGAAGTGACCTTGTTCGCGTGTTCATTTGGGTTGGCAATTGGGCATGTAATTGTGGCGTATAGGACTAGTTGCAGAGAGAGGAGAAAACTTCTAGTTTACAAAATTGACATCGAAGCTGTAAGTCAATCCATATCTTTCTCTGTGAGCTAAGCAACTAGAAAATAGAAATTAGGTAGATGATTTATGGGGTTTATGGTCTTTTCACTTGCCACTTGGAAAATTTGGTGGGTCCACTTAAATTGTGTATAGATGATCAAGAATTGTTCTACTAGAGTTGTTGACAACTGAAAAATATCGATTCTTGGTGGTTCCAAGGTTCTAGAAGAATCTGGAACGGAGAGCTTTCTTTCCTTTTTCTAGACTCTTCCAATCTATGGTTGATTTGTGAAAGTCACCATTGTACTAATGGTAGGCAAATTTGGAAATGAATTTCAATTTCATATTAGTTAGAAAATAAAAATCCACCGAATCCATAAGAATTCAATTTTCATGAAAATAAAGAAAATGCAGCTTAAAGTAGTTGTTCCTTGAAATTCGGTTTCCATTTTTACGTTACAATCAAACGGTCAAAGTGGAATTCGTTTTCTTCGAATATGACATTTTTCATGAAATTCGCTGCAATCAAACAGAGCCTAAGATTTTCACTAATGTTGGTTGAGTGCATTAGAATGTGAAATAAACTGGAAAATATTCGTGAATTTCCCAACTTGAGACAAAAGGAATATTTTTGCAAGTAAAGACATGTTTGCTGAATTATTTAAAACAACTTGACTGCCCTAAATGTTAATTTATGTAAATGTCTAACCTGATGTCGCATGGGAACAGGTCTCAGCATGTAAGATTGGATTTCCAAGACATCACAAATCACTCAAAGGTGGAAGAGCAAAGCCAAGACAAAAACAAATATCAAAACCCCATTTTTTCCTTAATCAAATTCAGTTTTCCAAGAGCCAGGTTTCAGGTAAATTGCTTGTATATAGCTCGTTAGAGACTTGTGAACCTTTTGTTCATTTTTTGTTGTCCAGTTTAGCATGCTAAACACGCACTATATATCAACTAACTATGGTTTTTATATTTGCTCGGTTTTTGCAGATTTGTCCAAAGGAGATGTGCAGCCTGATGAGGAAAGAAGTAAGGAAACACAGTAACTGTAGGCTAGTACGTAGTCGTCAACAATATTTTTTGTAACACGATATAGATGTAGGTGTATATACGTATATATACACGTATTTTCAGTACTTGCCTCGGTGCAGAGGAAGTGACATAGGAGAGTGATATCCATTCTGTTTCTGTGTCCCCAAACATGTAAATATGTTATGTTTTCATTTATACACGTATTCAAGAGCTGCTACTGGTGTGTACTTATACCCTTGTTTTGAGGCATGCCACCACAGGAGTGATGTCTGCTCAAAGTTTTGATAAGAATCGAAACGTCCAATCTTGATCTTGCATCATTCCTCGATTGTCACTTGATCACAGTTGATCACGAACCTCAAAAAAAAAGGCCCCTTATCTGGTATTTGCAATTCATTGTCCTTCAGTTGATGCAGTTAGAATTCTAATTCTTGTCTCCTTCAAGAATCGTCCTTCTCTATAAAGAAATCTTTCTGAGTTCAAAAGACGACCTATATCAAAAATCAAGGATTCAGTCTAGATCCGATTTGAGTCCTCGAAGAACCGCAACCGATAGCACAAACTTAAATGTTAACTTCGTTATGTAAACTTCCACGAAGATGGTACGAGTGAAAAATAAAGTATACAAAAGATAATTATAAAAGTATCATGATCAAATTCTCTTCTATTTGTGGTGACAAGAACCTTTTGATTCCGAATGTATAGAAGAAAAACTATAAATTTGAATAGAAATTTTAGTTATCTCAACTCTAAATTAAAAGATATAACCAACAAGAGAAATACGTACAATCAAATTTTTTAACACCCAGAAGATACCCGAGTACTGTCCATTTTGGGACAATTTTATCATAACATAGGCACGCTTCATGTTTAGCTCAATTGGAACATGCCAAAATAACTCCTATCAACAGTTTGATGATCGTGTTTAGTGGAACACACAGGTGGATTCTAAAAAACAATGGATATATTTTTTCTCACACACTTTTCCAGCAGCTTCACTAGTCATATATTCTCTCTTATACATGAACTTCAACGATGACTACCATACTTTTGTAGGATCCTCCCTATCTCCTCATCGAGTTTGTGTGGGTAGATGTTGCCTGCTAGGGTCGATAGTACTAAATTGCATGGAACTAAATAAGGCCCTTCTCACCTCCTCATCTCTGAGTTAAATGATCATTCATTTCGGAAGAGTAAGCAAGAAGCTTAAGATCTCATTCGTGATCGTACCTTTTTCGTCCTTTTTACCGCTGGCCTAAGATTTAGATTGTGAGTAAACCGTTTATTCTAGTTGTCTTCGTGAGATCCGAATCATCCGATACTTTTTCTCAAAGTAGGTTCTAGATATCTGATAAGAAGAGCATTAAAATATTTGAAAAAACTAATATGCAAGCTCATCAAGAATGAGGATTCCTAGTAGGCTGTTGATATTTGGAATGCAGGTCAATTCTCCACTTGTATACACGACTATGATATTATATGAGTCATGACAGATCATGCTTATTCTTTTGGTGATACATAAAAGTTTACAGGTGAGATGATGAATGAAGGTCCCAATGAAATTCAAGTGGCATTGAAATTTGCAACTAAGAAAAAAAAAAGTCCAGAAGAGCAATCACTTTCTCCCAAATCAGTTGGTTGGTGCTATGAGTGGAGGACGACAGCAGGTTTTGGTCCCCAATTCTGGTAACTAGAGGAACCAAGCCTATAGGACTGAGCAATTGGAAATAATTCATAATATTTGTGGGCTCCAAAGGTTAATTTGTCAGTTGTCTATAGAGTTAATTTCATAAATGGTCACTAATTTGTCGCTCTTCTAGCGATAACCACTTCCTAACATTGGTCCGTTAAACCTTGACGTCGACTGCTTATTGTTATGTCCATATCGTAAGAAATCCTGAATTGATTCCAATGAAGGAAGATGATGAGGAATAAGATATAAGATAGGTTTGAGAACAATGCTTTAAATCTAGAATTAATCTTCAAGTACGGGAAAATAATTTACAGAAGTTTAACAGAATACTAACAAAGCATGGGGCCCATGTGTATTAAATAAAAAAAGTGCAAATTACTCTATTCCCTA